GCGCGCTGCTGCCGCTGTGTGCGGACAGCGCGGCCACGGCCGGCCCTTGCCGGCCGTCCGGCAACAACTCCCGAACGTACTGACCTCAAATGGCATAACATGAACACATGAACAGATTTAAACTGAAAACATGAATTTTTAGCTCAATGAACTGAACTTGGCCGCGGCGGACGCACCGTGCGCCGCCGACGGCGTTAAGCCGTTTTACGACCGAATCTCATTTACTCTCGGCAAAACACAATTAACTGAACTTAAACATGATATACTGAACAATTGAACATGCTGGTTCGAAAGAATATTTACTTAGCAAATATGCTACTCGTGAACGGCCCGTGGCGCGTGCTACGTGCACGGCCACGCCCTTCGGCCGACACGACACTTTAAACATGAAATCTCTCCGAACACTTAATCTTACCTGAACATGATAGTACTTAAAAAGACTAAACATACGAAGATTGTTCGGAAAATTCAACTTAAAACATGACATGACTCGGCACGGCTTCTCGCACGGCCTTAACCACATGTAACACGCATGAACGCCTAAACTGAAAACCGAACTCAATAAACGTAATAATCTCAGCCTACAACGACAGGGATTTTACCTCCGATTATGCTCAACTAACGGCAACAATTCGAACTCCCGTGTTCGCGTGGCTCTCCGCGTGTGTGGCGTCGTCGTGCGGTGCGATTGCGTGCGATAGCTAGCTGTGCGACGTGCGATACTCTCGGCTAGCGGTACTACGGTAATGAACTCTTGCCTCACTTACTCTAGCGTGCGTATATATATACATGTGAAGGACTTAGTTATATGTGTGGAGAAAACATGGGAAAATTTTCCCACACATCCTTCTTAAATACTTGAGGCGCCGAAGGTGGGTGTTTGGAGATTAACTCTCCTTAGGACACTTGTAGCTAGCTTAGGAAATACTTAGATGACTAAGCATTCTATTAGTTAAAATGATGCCACGTTTAAAACTTACTAATGAAGGAATTTGGACCAAAATCCACTAGCTTAAGAATAAAGAAGAATTAAATTGGAAGACATTATGTACGGCCATTTACATGATTTGCACATAATTTTCCATACGGCTTTATAATTCTAATTGTGATTAATTTCTAATTAATCACAATTAAATGCTTAATTAAATAATTTAGCATAATACTTAATTACCAAAATTATTCCGAACGTAAACGGAACGTCGAAAATAATTTCGGTAATTTCGACTGAACTGACTGAAAATAATTAATTTCGAAAATAAATATCGAAACTAAAAACATGATTTATACTGATAAACTGACGGGATATTACACAATAATCTCAAAGTCATTCAGGTACTCATACCTGAGCTGGCGTGGCACGACGAGAGCGAGTGGTCTTAACATGAATTCGAAACACATAATCACATAATCAACTTTTTATACTTAAACCAGTCTACAGAAACGCAGACTGGCTCTGATACCAAACTGTAACGCCCTACTTTAATTTACCAAAAATCGAAATAAATTTTTCAAATTTATTTCAAAAATAGTATTTGAGGCGCTACTCATTTTTAAAACATTAATCAATACTAAACACGTTCTCAATATTCAACAATAATCAATACTCATAATCCATATTAAAATTCCAATAATGCAAATCCAATAATAATCCTAGGGAAATAATCCCATCAATAATTCAATAATCCGGTACTAGTGAAAAAACAATAATCAATAATGCAATAATATCCAAGTTCGGTTTTTCAAGGCGGAGCATTTATTCAATTTTAAAGACCACCACTCGCATCCCTTCCGCCGTGCCGCTCTATCTAACCTGCGTCCATGAAGAGCAGGTGGGGATGAGCACAATAAGAAAGTCGAGGTGCTCACCGCTATGCAATAATTAATCTCAATAATCATGAAACCAATTTAAGTATGGTCGCAGCATGTATACGAATCAATAACCACCCCAGCTCCTATCAATAATCAAAAATGGTCTCATGTGCACACCTATAACAATAGACTACTGCCGAGCTATATACCGAACGCCTTCCTCGAAGGCCTTACAACGAGTGCCCGGCCAGTAGGAGCAATAATCCACCCCGAATGCCAAAACTTTCGCCTTGGCCTTACATACGAGGATCACCAGCCAAGGCTCACGCCCTGACTGCCAACAATAATAAAGGAGACTACCCGAAGGTACGTTCTATAGCTACGGGGATAACCGTTCAACGGCCAATATAGCTCACATCGAAGGCTACATGGTTCACATGCATACTTTGATCATACAACAACAAAAACAATTAATTAAGGCATAGCAAATTTTACAATTACAACCCACCTGGAAATTTCGGTAGAAAATGGCACAACAAAAGCAAATACGTAGGATGAGGCTCGACTCCTCAAACACCTACATTTAAGCGAGATATTTTATCAATAATTTATCTCACTACTCGGATTTAACATAAAACCCATACTTAATAAAAATTATGACTTAAGGGTTTTAATCGGATTTTTCGTGGACTTGGAAGTCTCTCATTTTTGCAAAATAGGACTCAGAAAATTAATTTGGAGTCTCGGGACATAAATTATTTTTCTCAAATTTTTCTCATTTTATAAATATTTTTAAAATTGAAAACGGTGCGAAAAATAAGCTCCGGAATTCAAAATAGGTCTAAAAACCGAATTGGGACTAGCTGGAATTTAATTTTCAAAATTGGGCCTCCTGAACTCAAGAAATTTGGGCCAACACAAGCAATTGGGCCGCGCATTTAGAGCCTGAACAAGGCTGGGGAAACGCGGGCCTCACTGTGCTGCTCGTGGGCTGGAGCTGGAATAGGAGCGGGCTGAGGGAGTGGTTTCTGGGCCGGACGAAATGGGCTGCTACATTTGGGCCAAAGTAGATGCTGTTTGTGGGGCAAAATCAATAAAATAGGTTGTTGGGAGTGGGATTCGAACCCAGAACCACACATAAAAATATCCGCAGGGAAAACCACTACGCCAACTGTCTGGATGCAAACATCTTTGAAATCAAATATTACTAAATGATAACAAAGGCCTGCGATTTGAAACAAAGAACAGAACCGAGGACCTAATAACAGGAGCTGAGAAGTTGCGAGCAGACTGACAGAATTTCCCCCAAACTCAGACGATGACATTACCAACGACAATTGGGTCAAGAATATAAGACGTTCACGAAAATAACACATTTACAAAGTTCCGAAAAACATTAAAAACCAGTTCCAAAGGGTCGAAAGTCAAAACGACAAAACGTAGTTTGACAACAAACGAATAACACAACGATGACGACAAGGCTCGAAACGATAAAACGAGACTCCGAACTTATACACATATATCACAGAAACATTACGATACTCGCTTTTACGAAATCGAGAGTTCCAATCATTCCCGAAATTATCCATGAACATTACAAAATAAATAACAACATATGAATCGACAAGTAAACCGAATTCGAAACCCAACGAAATGATTCAACGCGAACGAAAATAAACATACGATATCATCCTGAATAATAATTTACGAGGAGGTTTCGAAAGGTTACCCATCTTCGGGAATCTTCGAGAAATCAGAAAACGGACAAGACGATCGGAAGCCTCAAAACTCGAGACCTTTGGAATACAGGGAACGTGACTGCTGCTGTCCTCAGACGGCTCGATCTCCCTGCTGAGTGCACATCGGAGTTGAACTGTAATTTCTGAAACACGACAACAGAGTGGACAAGTTGCCGGAGCTAGAAGGACTCCGCTGGAATTAATGGAGGTCACGGCTATGGCGGACGGCAACTGGTCGGATGCTTCTCTAGACAACGGTCGCTCCTTGCTGATCGCTCAAGGAAGACGGCCGACGGCGGTTCTGCTAAATTGGCTCGCCGGAGAAACAGGCGGCTTAAAATTTTCTTTCTTTTTTTTTCCTCTTTGAAAGCAGGTAGCGATTTAGAGATAACAGGGAGAGAGAGATAGATGGCTGGTTTTCTAACGTTATAAAGAGACATGAGAGGGGAGAATGTGCGGAGGATCTCACGATCAAATTGAAACAGAATTTCGAACTCGAGCGGATGTGGGAGGACTTGGTCAGTTCACGCGCAGAACAAGAAACTTAAAGCCGAGCGATAAACTCTTGGGCTGGATATAAATTTACTGATCGGGCCTGGAAATTAATTGGACAACTGTGCCAAGGAAATCCTAACTCAAATTGGGCCAAAATCAGTAGAAGAGTTGGGCCATAAATTAATCAGTTGGGCTGGGAAATAATTTAATCAGACTAAATAAAATACAATGCGATAACAAGAATTTCGATCGATTCGATAGGGACGATAAATTAAACCGGATAATATATATATAATATACACAATAGTACTTAATAATACACATTTTATTTATTAATAACATAACATTTAGACAATTAATATTAATAATAGTAATATTACTAATAACAAATAAATAATAGCAAATTGACATTTAATAGCAATAATAATAATAATAGTAATAATAATAATAATAGTAATAATAATAATAATAATAATAAAGATAATTTAATAATAGCAATAATCAATCATTACTCCCAAATAATACACAATAAAACGGGGTATTACACTTTTGTTAAGGGGAGACAACTTATGGACAACATCATAATTGCCCAGGAGGCTTATCACTTCTTAAATAGATACTCTACAGGCAAGAACTTCTTCATGTCTCTGAAATTAGACCTAATGAAGGCTTTTGACAGACTGGAGTGGCCCTGCATCCATAGAATAATGTTACAAATGGGCTTCCATCCTGACTTTGTGAAACTCATCATGGTCTGTATCTCTACCTCCACAATCTCCTTTAAAGTGAATGGTAAGATTAGTGGCTACATCACTCCTTCCAGAGGCATTAGGCAGGGGGACCCACTGTCCCCCTACCTCTTCATAATAGCTGCTGAACTGTTATCAGCACTCATCTCTAATGCTCAAGCTCAAGGCAGTCTGCATGGGCTAAAACTCTCAAGCAATGGTTCTGCCATCACCCACCTCCTATTTGCAGACGATTCTCTGCTCTTCTGCAAAGTTGGAGTAGACCAAGCCAACCAGCTTATTTCTTTATTGAACAAATACAGACTTTTCACAGGGCATCAAGTCAATTTGCAGAAATCTGGAATTTATTTTAGCAGGAATACCCCTCAAACCTTGAGAGACAACATTTGTGGTGTTCTACAAGGCATTGTCCCTCACAGATCTTCAAGATATCTTGGATTGCCTCTGGGAATAGGAAGATCCAAAAAGAAAGTTTTTGACTACATCCTTAACTCTATAAGAAACAAATTGCAGGGATGAAAAAATACTCTTCTTTCTCCTGCAGGCAAAGAGGTTTTGATCAAATCAATTATTGAGGCTATTCCAATTTTCTCTATGTCCTGTTTTAAACTGCCTGCTGCAATATGGAAGGAAATTTCCAAATTATGTGCAGCTTTCTAGTGGAAATCTAATGACAGCTCTGATACTGGGGTTCACTGGAGGAAATGGGAGAGACTCACTCTTCCCAAGCTTGAGGGTGGACTGGGCTTCCATGATATCAGTCTCTTTAATGAGGCTCTTATATGCAAATAGTTATGGAGGATCACTTCCAATCATGTACTGCTGGTTAGCAGGATCCTTAAAGATTGGTAGTTCCCAAATGACTCCATCTTTAAAGCTGAAAAAACTCAAAAAGGGTCCTGGTTATGGCACAGTTGCTCTCAGTAATGCCCACCTTTGCTCATTGTGTGAAAAACTGAAATCAGGAATGGTCACTCCACTAAGATTGATGATCTGAATTCGGTGCCTAAGTTGAATAAACCTCATCCTACACTGATTGAGATTGCAAGGGGACACTTAATTTGGGTGAAAGACCTGCTGCAAGACATTGTCTTGGAATGGAACAAATGTCTAGTTGAGCAGGTCTTTTACCCTGTGGACAATGCTGCAATCCTCAAAATCAACTCATTGAACCCTGCAAGATCAGACAGACAGTTTTGGAGTCTTGAACCAAAAGGCCATTTCATAGTGGCTAGCACATACAAATATCTGTCTGCTAAAAAGCTTTTGAAGATGGACATTCCAGGTTCTAGCTCCAGTCCTTTTCCTCCCAAACAAATGTTTCAAAGATGTTGGCAAATGAAGATGCAAAACAAAATCAAACATTTCCTTTGGAAGTGTATTTCTGGAACTCTGCCCACTGCTACAAACTTGAGGAAGAAAGGGATTGACATCAATGCCATCTGCTCCATCTGTGGAAATCAACCAGAAACCTCTGAGCACATCTTCTTCTCATGCCCAAGAGCAAGTAGGATTTGGGAATCTGTTCCAGTTAACTGGGATGGCGTGCAACATTTCTCCTTCTCATTCAAATGTTGGTGGAAGCATCTGAGCTCCGTTAAACAAAATGATGTTGTTAAAGCAAGGATTCAACTGTCCACCTACTTGCTTTGGTGGCTATGGAAATCGAGGAATCTCATGATATTAAAAGGGTCTCTCATGCCTGAGCACATAGTAATCTCTGCAGCACACAAGGATTGGTTGGAAGCTTCAATGGCTGCAGGACTTTATGCTGCTCCCTCACTTGGTTAAGGCATCCTATTTGTTATGTTTTTGTTTTGGGTGATCTTTCTGTTTTTGTTTTTTGGTTGAAGTGGTGTATTCTAGCTAGGTCTCTTGGCAGTGGAGAGATGCATTTCTTCTTTTGTTTTTAGCTTTCTAGTTTGTTTGTGGTTGAGGTTCTAGGTGCTTTGTGTAGCATCTCTCAGTTTTTCTTTTTAGTAGGCTCTTTGCCTCTTGTATCTGAACCGTTTCATCGGTTGATATATATAGCTCCTCTATCGTTCTGGCAAAAAAAAAAAAAAAAGATTTTAACATCAACTAACAATAAATTTATACCCAATAACTAAATGACACGTGGACATAATTACATCAAACTCTCAACCCATTCTCTCTTGATCAAGCACACACTGACACACATATATTACACACACATACACCGACACACATATATACACAACAGATATATATACACACATATATACACACAACAGACACACAAATATACACATATAATTGTCGTCCGTCGCCGCCATCATTGCAATCCGATCGCCGCCATCCTCGCCGGCCGGTCGTCGCCATCACTGCAGTCCGATCGCCGCCATCCTCGCCGACCAGTCGTCGCAATCACGCCTCTGTCGTCCCCACCATAACGCCTCCACCGTCGCCGCCATCACGCCTCCGACGCCGCCTCACCCCAACATCATCCACCAAACCGTTGCAATGTAGAATAACTGCCTTCCATTCGTATGCCGCCAGAGCTCCGGCGTGTTCCACGTCGTCGAAAATGTCCTCCGGCGCGGCCGAACGGAGGAGAGTTTACGTCGGGAAAGATGGAGGAAGGCCGACGAGGGTGGCGGGAGCTCGCAGCGACCGGCGACACCGACGCAGAGGACGGCGAACGGATGGGCAACGAGATGGTGGAAGGCTGAGGCCGACGACGTCGACGGTGACGGTCTCCGGAATCTGACATTATGGGTTGTGATGTTTTGGAGTGTTCATTTGAGAATTAGATTAAGTTTAGGACCTATTTGTAATTTTATGATTTTTAAAAACCCACGTGCCAAATCTATAATTATTGAAAGTTACAAAATTTCTTTATATATTATTTGTTATACACATGTATTAAATAATAAATAAATAATTAAATAATAATAGTATAAAATGTAAAAATAATATAAAATAGTTTATAATAATAAACAAATTTTATAAATAATAATAATAAATAATAAAATATTTAAATTATTTAAATTAATTATTTGCACAATTATATCTATTAAAAAATAATTTTCGATTACACATAATTTATATGTGAACTTACAAATTATTTCACTTTATAAAAAAAATATTGCACTTTATAAAATAATACGTTGCACATTATAAAACAACACGTTGCACTTTATCAAGACGCTCCATAATTTACGTCAATAACTCCTACCAAATTACAACACAACATAAATCTAAAAGACGGATCAACATAACATTTTATCATACATCACATCATATGTTAAAAAAAAAATACACACAAGAATGCTAACATACCAAACTTACAGTAGTTTTACATTATGTATTGTCATGTTGCATTTTATGAACCAATGTGTTGCACTTTATAGTACACTGCATTGCACTTTATCATGACAATTCACAATTAAACGTTGATAACTCCAGCTAAATTATCACTCCATATAAATTTAAAAAATATATCTACATAATATCGGTAGTTCAGTTCGGTAACGACTTTATTTTTATTTTTAAAAAAAATAATATCTTAATTAAATTACCATATCAATAAAACTAGTTATTTTGATGTTGGTTTAGTTTGAGACAAGTCATTAAAAAATAATTGCACTTAGAGTGCACGTTAATGTTAGACAGATTGCACGTTATTGATTGTTAAATTGCACTATATCTATTAAACCAACATATATATATATATATATAAATAATATTTTGTTATATATATTTTTTTAGGTATTTACACCAAAAACAAAACAATCATACAAAAGATATAAAAAGTAAATTAAAATACTAAATATATTTTAAAAAATATAAATTATAAATTATTTTAGTTTTAGTTGGATTGTGACAAATCATTAAATATAAATGCACTTCAGGTGCACATTTGTGTTGCACTGATTGCACATTAGTGACTGATATATTGCACTTAATCGTATTCGACTTTATTTTTTAAATATAACCGAACCGACATAACTAAACTATTCAGTTAGATTATGTAAATATAAAATATGATAATTATTCCTACATTTCTATTG